ATTAACACTCTCTACATTGAAAACTGGTCAAACCTTAAGAAGCTTCTTTCAAAAGCTAAAACAGAGACATGGCAGAAACAGGCATGGTGGTTACCAGGTTGGGAAGATCAAGTAAAGAACAGGCCGCAATTGCAAAACATGAAAGCTTGTGGAGGCTTGTTATCAATACAAGAAAAAGGAAATGTCAAATCAAAAATAATTTTCAGGATAAATAAACAGCAAGCCAGTATCAGAGATTATAAGATTATATGTCTAACATCACTTAGAGACTTCCAGAAGAGCCTGTTAGAAACCATCCTTTAAATATGGTTAAAAACTCAAGCCATGTCAAGTTAAAAAATGTCAGCCTACACTGGCAGTTACCTTACACCCCTCTAAAGTGCTTTGAAACTGAGCACTGTGCATAGTGCATACACTTTAAGTTAGTATAGTGCAAAAGTAAGTTTCAGCTAGTTCAGTTAGTTTAACACTCAAGAACTAAACATGCTAAACAAAAGCTAAAAAAGTGATTATAAAGATGGTTTTGAAGAACCCGAATGGTGTCGACTAATGAATGGCTCCTTAACATCTTTTACTTCGAAACTCAGGCACAGCGCACACACTGTGTGCAGACCAGCTCTTATGGAAGATATCATTAGAATAATTCAGAAAGATGATTTTTGGGTGCCTTGAGGAGATCTAATATTCAAAATGAAGAAGTGCTGATAGAGAAAATGCTTCTTCAGACATTAATGAATGTTTAAAACTGTATTATGAGCATGAAGAATCTGCTGACAGCTTTTCAGAGGGAATTATTGGGAATTTATGACTTTACACCTCTATGGTTCTGTCATCATTCACTCTCATAACATACAGAAGCTGTGTGACTTTAATACTTCTGCAGAACACAAAAGATATCATAAAAAATGTTGGTTACCTGTTGGTAACCGTTTCGCTGACCATTGACTTCAATTGCATGGTAAAACATATGGAGACATCATCTTCTTGTATGCTCCACAGTAAAAAGAATGCCTTACAATTTTGGAAGAAAATGAGGGTGAGCAAAAAATGACACAATTTTCAAGTTCAGACACCTCACTAACCCCAAAACAAGACAGAAGTACACTTGACATTGACACTCTATTCCATGCAGTCATATCTACTGCCAGCCAGATCAAGTTCTTTCCCATTAAACTTTTATCCATACTGTCCCCTCTCAAATGATGACTCCACATCAGAAATAATTCACATGGCACATCTTACATATGCATCGCTAAAACTTTGATAAGGGCTGCTTCCCAAGTGCTAAAATTATTTATGCTGATATCAAATGCAAATGATCAGATAAGATTTCCTTGCATTTTCAGGCCTCGTTTCTATGGATGTCACTCACTAACCGACGTCCAGATGAGGCTACTACTTAATCACTTACAACCTGACAAGAGATCTAAGACCATTACACATGAAAACTTACTTTACATATGAAAAGACGAGGCTCAATGCACTACGAAAACATATGAATCAACTGACACATGTGGTAGTGGTGGGGGGGGAAGGCTATATGAATATTAATACTCATACACAAAAGCCTTTAGTGGACCGGTAAACAAACAGCCTCTTTGGTTAAGAGAGACGTTCAGAAGCTGCCTCAGGCACACGTAGACACACACAATAGCACCAGACTTCCTTCATCATATGAGTAATTACAATCTACTGTGGAGTGTCAGACCTCTGAGAGTGAGTCATAATATAAGGACCCCCTTGAGGTTTTCTCTTGAAATTGACATAGTCTGAACCTATAGAAATCCTGATCAAGAACCCAAGAAGCAAGCATCATTAATAAACAATTGAGATGCATTTTCCAAGAGACATCCATATCAACATTGCGGTGAGGGGTGTTTGGGTAGGAATAAGTGGACAGACGGTGCTTGACTAGAATGAGTAAGCTTGGGTAAATATATCTCCAAATCTCCCTGAGGATAGACAAGCTAAACATACTAAACCAGACCTAATTTATTCTCACTTTAAATGAAAGACAGTGGGGTCTCAAGCAGTGTTGGGGAAAGTTACTTTTAAAAGTAATGCATTACAATATTGCGTTACTCCATAAAAAAGTAACTAATTACGTTACTTTTTATGGAAAGTAATACGCTACGTTACTTTTGCGTTACTTTTTAAATCTGGACAGGGCTTGTTTGTTTATTTTTCAAATAAAAAAAGTTATATTTTTGGCAAATATAAAAGCCTTTTCACACCAAAAGTGAAATGAATAAGCCTCAGGCTGAAAGGAAAGTAAATTTACGTCCGTACAGTAGAATGCAGAAGAAGACATTTCAACACACTTCAGCAATAAAAAAAGACACACAAATGTTTGTCTAGAGTAATTTTTGCTTATTAGTTGTACTGGATCATCGAAGGTCAGAAGCAAAGACATTAGAATGGGATTAAACACATAAAGGATATTTGTGTTGTAATTATTGCAGGTTTGCGTCATATTCTGAGTTGCACTATTTTTATTCATTTTGAGGAATAATGAATCTGTGGGTTTTTTTTGTGAGTGAGATGAATAATGCATATTCATATTTATTTTAGAACTACAGTAACATCTTCTGATTTCTCTCAACATGGGGACAGGAGAGCTGTCAGTCAATAAATTGGGGGGGGAAAAAGTAACTCAGATATTCTCTTGTAAATTAAAAAATAATGTGTTACTTTACTAGTTACTTGAAAAAAGTACTCTGATTACATAACTCGCGTTACTTGTAATGATTTACCCCCAACACTGGTCTCAAGGTTTAACAATGGAGAAATATCATAGGATTTGTTCACTCTCTACTACTATCAAGGATGAAACTGGGTCTATGAAAGAAAAAAAAAAGGATTTCAAAACAAGCCACACTCGTTCCCAAGAGGAAAAGTTTTTTTTCTTTGAGAATACTATACCTGGATCCATAAGGATTTTCCTTTCAAGCCCCTTCATTTTCCAAATTAATGTGCTGATCAGACTTACATCAAACCTTGATGTTGTCCTAGGAGAGCATGTGAGCTTGCACATCTTGATATATAAAAGCTCTTTGGTTTTAGCTTAAAGGAACATCAAATGCATCCATCATTTATCCCTGCTTACAACAATGTGAAATCTAAAGCACTGGAACAGATTTGGACCACTCAATCGTTTGCTTTTCATTAAATTACAGCGTTTTAAAGTTGTTTTTATTACGCTAGGATGAACCAAAAGACCTTGATTAGTTGCTTCATGTATGTTTGATTGGAGTTAAAGCTCCGCAGGAAGGTAGTTTCCAAGATTTAGCGCCCCTGATTTAGATTGTTTCAAGCCAACAGGTGATTTTCCTTCTCTAGCATCGGCGTTTGTGTGCTATCTCTTATGAGAGTGTAGCCTATGGTTCAAGACTCGACAATGCCCCCTACCGTTTGTGACCAGCACTGCAATCTATGTTCTGTACACCTGCTCCGGTTCGCGAAGATAACTTGAACATCATGTGCAAAACCAAATTCAATCATTTCAGTTCAAACGACAGTGAAAAGAAAAGTGGAGTTAAAATGAAGTCACATTTTTGAACGGCTAGGTTTTAACATAGAGAGAAATTCAATGTGAGCCACTTAGCGTAGCTAACAAAGACGAGGCACAGATTTGAGCTCACTATAAAAATGCGCGAGGCTGAAAATGGAGAAGTTAAAACTGCCAAGAAATATGTGTCTTGCGGATATGACCCACAATAATAAGTTCAACGCCCACCAACATGTCCTAAAAATCAATAAACTGCCATTAGATGTGATACTATGTAGCCTACATATTCACATTGCTGACCAAATAGCCATATTGGTCTTACCTCTTTTTATTGTAGACTACCTGCATTGGCGCCTTTGTTTTGTGTTGTAAAGCGAGCTTAAGTTATAGAAAGGCGCTACATAAAAGAAACTTTATTGTTGCTGTTTTTACTGTAGCCTACGTGCCTATGAAAAATATAAGCTATATTAAAATGTCTTATTTACCTTTCTGAATAGCATCACCATTGCCCATCATTCACATAGCTAGGCTATATAATGACAGGTGACTGACAGTAGCTATCCTTCAGTCACAAACATAGCGACTCAAGACTGTTAAATAGCCTGAATAAATAATACATACATACATACATACATACATACATAAATAAATACCGGTTACGCTTTTCAAATAACAAATAAAATATCCTACGAATAGCTTTTCTGTTAAGGCTTATAAAGTTGCGCGAAAACACAACGATATAGCCTAGGCTACTGTAGGTGTAGCTGAGAGATGTTAAATATTTCCCTCTATCTCTTCTGAGAATCTCATTCGCAAATCATGTGCGGAAAGTAGGTTATTCTCGATGAAAAGTAAAAATATGTCCTTCAAATGCCAAACGATGATAAAGTGTTTTACTGAGAGCCTGAAAGCAAAATTCCTCGGATCCTGAACAGAACGTGAGCAGCGAGTAAATGCCGTGTCAGGATAAAGGTATACTGTACTGAATACTGTTTATATAGAACATTGTCCTTTCTTTAATAAAACTGAGAGAAGAGGACCGTTTAAAAACATGACATTCCCCATAAGGGTTTTGATATCACCATAAAGATAGAAAATGTGCCCATAAACCAGGTTTTATTAGAAAACCATGAAGTCTTTGATAATTATAAAAAGCAACTAAAATTGCTACTTGTTCACGCAAACCCACTAGCAAATATTTATTACAAACATTCTTTGAAATGGGACAATTCTTTGTATTTCTAATGAAAATAAAACAAATGCAATTATATATTTATTTTCTTCCCAGATTAAAAAAAAATTTAATCTCAAGAGATTCGCTAAAAGGTTGATAGTCAGTAGCCTATAGGCTATAATCTGGCCGCAGAACTCTGGACCGCAGAAGTTCAGAAAGTACTTCACAGTATCATCCTACTCCAAGAACATTAGAGGCGGTTTCTATAAATAACTACATTTAAAGGTAAGGTAATAATATCTGAGAGAGTGTTTTTACCTTCTGATGTCCTTTCTCTGGAGGAAACTCTACCGTGCGTAAAACGCAACGCATAAACCGCAATCTCCGCTTTGCGTAGGTCTCCTGTGCAGTATCCCTTTTCTGTGAATGACTTCCACCGATCGACCTGCAGCTGCTTTACTGCGCTGTGCTGGAAAGAGGAGCCTACTACAGAAGGGCAGCTGCAATTCAAACAAATGGGGGTGCACACTCTGTTACGAAGCTCCACCTCACATATTTGGCACAGTGGTTGCATTAGCCCTTAAAGCTCTCCTTTTATATTCTAAATGCATTTCTGTAATAGAAACGTTTCTATTAACCTGTTTCGAATGATCAATAAGACATTGTCTTTTGGGATTCATCAACACCCCTGTATCATGCCTGGATAGTCTGTCCCTAGAATCAGTGAGGTACCATGGCGATTAATTAACTGTTTGGATCTCACAATGTTGCCAAAAGTGGCAGTGTGTCATATAACCATGTTTTGGTGTGGTGCAATCAATAAACTCACACAATGTACCATTGTACAATTCTACAATGGTGTACCATGATACTCAAGATGTACCATTGTACCATGTTAGGCTATATGGGAATGGCATGATACTATATGTGTCATGGCACTGAACAATTACCATATTCACACTGTATTTTCATTGGCTTTTACAAAGCATTTCAAAGAATTATCAAAGAATGCTCAAAAACACATGGGTTTACAATGGTACCAAATACATGGTATTATCTTGGGGCATCTTTTTTAGTAAAGAAATTGGACATACTGTAGTTAGAAGCACCGTCAGAAATTATGTCACTGAAAATGACAGAAAACCCCCAAATATTTAAAATATGGGGCAAATAATTGATCCAATTAATGTATTTGACATAAATAGACAGTGTGTTTTTATATGGTTAGGAAAAGTATAGGTAAAAAGTATGACAGAAAATCATTTCTAGATGGCAAATAGCCTATTGTCCCTTAAAATGTTATAAATTTAAACATTTAAATTTTTTTTTGCTAAGGAGCAAACTAAAGGGCATTCCAGACAGTTTAGATACAGATTATCGAGTTTATAAAGAGTTACAGTATGAATGAAATAAGTAATATCTAATTATTCTAATAATGTGACTACTCAATGTTGATTAAATATGTCTAAAGAAGGTGAATATCATTTTTGGCATATAGCCAGCATATATATTTTTTAAGATTTATAGATTTAACTTCATAAAACTAATAATAAAAATAGATAGGCCTATATAAACATTCACATTTCAACTGTCCAACAATACTAACTTAAAGTGTATGTTTTATAAATAAATAAAAACTTTTAACTTTTGGCTTGACACTTGAAAGTTGTTTTTCTTTTTGAAAACTGTGACAGTGTGGATTTACAGTATGCCCGGACACTGCAAGTTGCAGTATGCATTAAGCAGCTGGGGGAAGACAGTTGTGTGGTACCACTGTCACATCCAGGTGGTGGCACTACAGTGTGTCTGACACATAAGCACGAACATTGCAAATATGATATAATAATTGGTACTGTAGGCCTATTATTAAGTGCCTTCCTTAAGTAATGAGGCATGAAAACATGAGAAAATACTTATTAATATGGTCTACATAATTAAATAGCAACACTGAGGGACTAACTTTGAACTGTTTGAAAAATAAATTAGTCAAATATTAAATAAAAATGTTGATACTTCTGACTGTCAGTTCTAATTAGGTGGCTGATAAATTGCTTTATTTGGCAACCGCTGACTGCAGTTATAGGTAAATGATATTACTTGGCAAAAGAATGGTTTATTCTGATTGTTATTGAGCTGTTCATCAATTTAAGTTTTTTTTTTTTTTTTTTTGCCAGTGGTTGAAGAACATTTACATTTGTGTCCCTAGTTTTTCCTACACCATTTAACATTAAGAACATTTATAAAATCTGCTATGGGTTCAATAAGGTCACACGGGTTATAGTGAGTTTGTCTTGTTTTTGGTGTTTATACACATCCAGCTTTGTGCTTCACATGTGTGAACATCTTATGCTCACCATGCATCTATCTAATGTCAAAACTGATTCACTAATGTTGGTGATAGAAAATGTATTTTGTATGCTTTGATATCATGTAAGAGATGTTCTTGAATTATTTTAAAGGTCTTGTTTAGGTCAATGATGTAATGAGATGCTCATTAATTTTGTCCAGATCTATTATGTTATTCAAAAATATACGTGAAAATGCATTCAATTTGTGCACGCCATGCACCTGTTCTATGATGAGTAGTCAATTTCTTAATTAAAAGTCATTATGATATTTTTGAAGAGCTTAAATTTGAAAAAAAAAATGTTTAGGTGATGTTTGACTTTCTGAAAATCGTTTACAAAAATATATATTAAAAAAAAAAAGGTATTCGCCCCAAGGCCCCCCCCCCCCCATACTATGGAAGTCATTGGGGACCATTGAGGATGAGTAAATGATGACAGAATTTAAATTTTTGCATGAACTATCCCTTTAAGCTAAAATACATAAATTAGTCCATTTAATTTTGGTGCTTTATTATGGTATTCTGAAGCTATATGTGTGATTGCAGTGGGTCATGAGATTTGAGAGTAAATAGATTATCTGTAAATGAGATACATTTTGGACTGTTCATCACAAAAAAAAACTATTGTATGCCTTCAGAAGACATAAGGATTATTTTATTGTTGGTTTGAGGTTGTTGGTTTTTTTTTGAGAGAGAGAGAGAGAAAATAATACTTTATTTATCAGTTGCAAAGGACACTGTCAATTGATCAAAAGTGACAGTGAAAACTTTACAAAAGTGGGGGGATCTTGATACGAATGCAAACATGGGAGATAAAATGTTTTTTATTGAGTTTAATGTACTACTATATACTTTAACCTGCTATTAGCCTAGTCAGTTTTTATCACTTTATTTTCTAGCACTTTGGAGATTATGATTTTTATTTGAAAAAAACAAATCACAGTTCTGTTCTGTAAATTTTCGGAATACTTTTTGGGTTAAGAGATTAGTTTGGAAAGAAACTGAAAACCATGTTTCTATTTTCAGAATAAAATTTTTCTGCATGCTGCTGAAATCTGTCATGTGTGTCTGTTGAAGATTTGTTTATTCCCAAGTTAATGATTTGCAGACCATCCCTGTTGAGTTGAAGAGTCCATAAGGAGCTCTTTCAAACACAGCAACCAAGAGATTCAGCTAGGAATATGCAAAAAGATGTGTTCCTCCATCACCCCATTCCTTCCCTGCATGTTCTTTTCACTCCCCTGAGCCGTAGATGCTCATCAGATGAAATAGTGGTGCACAGCATGTGTTTTTTCCAACCTGTTCTGTTCACTTCACATTGATCGACGTGACGCGATCAGGCCTGTCTCTCAAAGCTGTTCAGTGGATGATAATAACAATCACCGTCTTGTGAAAGGACTGGTGTTGTTAGGATAATGCCCACTTCGAACACCACTGCTAAGGGAAGGCCAAATGAAAGTCTTTGTAACGGGTACAGGACATGATGATTGCCAGACAGTAATGGGCCCGCTCTATTGGTCGACTGTCAGGTTTGGACAGAGCGTTTGAAGAATAGGTGGTACACCAAATAGGGGTGGAAACCTGATGGGACTAGAAGTAGAACACTGACTCTTTTGTCTCTGAATGGAGTTGAATGCTGCAGTTGTCTGTGCGCCGAAACTGTACATTTTAGTGTTAAAGATGGGTAGTTTGAGAAACAATCAAATTTTTACAATGTGCAGACTTTTTGCAATGCAAATGCTGTCGAGATATGATTTAAAGGAGACATATTATGCCCCTTTTTACAATATGTAATATCAGTCTCTGGTGTCCCCAGAATGTGTCTGGGAAGTTTCAGCTCAAAATACTCCTCAGATCATTTATTATATCATTTTGAAAATGCAGTTTTTCGGGCTTGTCTCTTTAAATGCAAATGAGCTGCTGCTCCCCGCCCCCTTTTCCAGAATAGAGCTGTGCCATTACATCTTGTACCTGCTAAAAACATATGTTTTGGTTCTGATTATCATGTTTATCGCACTGAAATCATGCGGTTTAAACTTCTGATATTCTGTTTTCTGAGTGCGCACATCCGAAGCACACATACAGAAAGCGGCTGTCGCAGCATGTGAGTACTAAACTAAGTTCTCATTCACACACAAGTTTACGTTAAAAACACACGAGTTACAAAAACAGTCGGTTATGTCTGTGAAGGTTAACTACTGGGAAATAAATCGCTTAATATTATAATGAAGATCCCTTTGCAACGCTGTTGTCTTGGGCCTCTGTGGAATTTTTGTGACTCCTCGTGCCTCAACTCGGTTTTGACCAAATCTTAGATTGTCTGATTCGGTCTGATATCCTACATCACCAAGGGAGCGAAATCAGATGCGCTGGTTTTCTCAGACGCTTGCAGAAAAAGGCTTACCAAAACAAAGTTACTGGGTTAATCTTTTTCACATTTCCTTGGTTGGTAGATGCTCCGGGAGCCTGATTATAGCACTTAAAACCTGGAAAAGTCAGATTTTCATATGTCACCTTTAAAAGGGTCTTTATACTATTGTTATACTTCTATCATTTTATTTTTCCATGAGTTCTAACTATAATATTAGTCAAGGTTTATTACAGCAAATAATAATTTAGTTTTTTGATTAACTTTTTTTTTTTATCCTCTCTCTGACCCTTAGTATTCAACAGGCCATTTTTGCTGCACTTTTGTGCATTTATTTATGGGAAGAGTGCTTGCTGTCGGGTCTAATATAGTTTGCACTGCTCCATTTTTCAATAACAGGCTCTTTGCAAAGCAGAAATTAAACTCTGGCATGTTCACAAACCAATTTGTGTGAAAACATGTGTAATCAGAGACTAATTCTGGGATCATTTGTAAGGAATGCAGAGCTGTAGGTGCTACACGCAGCAAGAAACAGCACTGATTTATAAGTTTACTGATTTATATTTTTGTGTTCAGAAATAAAAATATATACTGCTTTCTTCTTATTTCCTCACTGTGCTAATGTTGAATTGAAAACTAAATAGGCATTGTTGACATCTAAATGTGGTTAGGTGTTACTGTATTCTAGCTGACATCAGGAGGTGCAATAATTCAGAACGAGCCAATTTTGAGCTTAGTCTTCTTGAAAAATTTCATCTTTTATGAAATAACCCATTCAAAGTTAATGTTGGACTTGAGTAACTTGATGAAAGAAAGATGGTCTTCTCAAATACTTCAGTAAGTTGCTCTGACATTTCTACATAATGCATCACCATGTCTGCTCCCGCTGTCATCATGGCTGAAGTCAGAGGAGGTGTGATTTCTCAGGTCTCTCAGCTTTGCAGTACTTTAATTAGACCTGACTGTCATCTTCACACACTCACTGGCTCCCAAGGCTCTGGGGCCGCTGGGATGTCACCGAGTCGGCACAGGCTGTCCATTCCGCTGGACCCCATTTGCTCATACAGAGTTGATTAAATGTGAGGAGGAAGAGAACGTTGTCTCTGATCCTTCACCTTTGTCTTTAAACTTTTTACTTTGCAGTGGCAGTTGAATTGAGAAATTTATGTCCATCAATAT